CCTCCACCCATGCCTCAACTTGGTGTGTCAGAGATGGGGGAGCTGCAAGGGGCCAAATCCTCATTGCTGACAGTGGCGCATGCCTCCAGGTGGATAGTGAGGGAGGGGCTGAGGTTGCCCTGCCCCAGCCCCTTCCCTGCCACGTGCTGCGAGCCATCCATGTACCGTCCAACACCACAGACCTGGTGCCGGGGCTCCGGAGCCCAGCACAGCTGCTTGCAGTCTCCTGGCTGCCTTCCACAGCTGGCTTGGGCTCTGGGCAGTTGTAGGAGATGGCTGGAAGGCTGCAAACACCTGTGCCAGGCTGTGTAGGCCCAGCACCGGCTCTGTGGCAGTGACAGCTGCACATGTGCCTCTGGGTGGACTGTGGGGAGTTGCCAGGGTTGTGCTGCCCCAGGCCCTTTCCCAGCCATGTGTCCAGAGGTGCACGCACAGCTGCTGCAGCCATGGAACTGGTGCCAGGGGTGCAGAGCCCCATACAGCTGTTTGCAGCCTCCTGGCTACAGCCAGCCTGGGCTCTGGGCAGCTGCTGGCAGAAGCTGCCCAGAGTCAAGGTCAGCTGTGGTGGGCTGAGGAAAATGTCCTTGCGTGTCATCCTCTGGCACGCATGCCAGGGATTACCGATTCTTGATCTAGACACTCTTAGTACTTGCTGAAATAAGAGTCTATGTGAGGAAGGACTGTGGAATCAGACCTGGTGTCAGGACAAATATTATTATTATTATTATTGGTCTGTGTCAGTTTCAGGCCTTGGCATAAAGGCCCTGCCCTTTACTTTTGCATGTTTCATTAGCTGCACTGGCCCTGCAGTCATGTTAAACCCTAGCCCAGTACTGAACCTGTTGCATTGATTTCATCACTGTTGTTCTGCACCCTGTTAGGCTAGTGCAGGGTTAGACAGAGACTGTCAAGTGTCCACCTGTCAGATGGCAGGTTCTGTAGTATCTGGCAGACTCTTTGGAACAGTTGTTATTTTATCCCCTCCTCTGCCCTGAAGCAATCAGCTGGGCTCTGGAACTGCCTATCTGGCTTCCTGGGAGGAAATATGAGCAAGGCCAGTCCAAGCCCAATGCAGCCCAAAAACAACCAAGGAGTCATACCCTGTAATTTTAGCTGCCTGAGTGCAGCTCATTATTATTTCTCCTTATTCAGGGAAAGTGCCCAATTTTGTCTCCAAGGCCTAAACTAGGAGCAGCAAAAGCTTCAGGAGCTGGTTGTGTCCAACCAAGAGAATCCTTTGCAGTGACATTCATCAGAATAAGAAAACAAACTGGGGCTCTCAGGCTTCAGGGCATAAGCTGATTACTAGCAGGGAAGTCAAGAATAATTCTTGCCCAGTTTAATATAGTATTGTTCATATTTGTGGAGGCTTTAAGCCTGCCTCTGGTATTTGGTATTAACCTCAGTTGGAAGCAAGATGCTGGATTAGCTGGACCAGTTGTCTGGTTCAGTATACCTGTGCTCCTGTGTATGTGTAATACACAGCAACAAATACCTAAGCCAGTGATTCCCAACCAGGATGCTATGACGTCCTTCAAGGAGGCTGCCAGGTACCACACAATGTCAGCACTGTGAGGTGTGCAAACATGATTCACAAGATATAAAGCCTGAGATTTTAAATGGAGTCCAGAGCGTTAAAAACATTCTGCCCTGTTGTGGTCTTTCTGAGTTCTTTCCAACAAATGAATTCCTCTATTATTTTTCTGGAGTAAAAAAAAAAAAAGAGTGCAAGCTAAGAGGTGGCATTTTCTGCAGGATGCCTTGTGAGGCTATTGTGGGGTGCCTCAAGTTTAAAAAGGTTGAGAGCCACTGATTTAGACACAGAAGCAGATCCAGGATTTTACAAAGGGGTGCGTGGGAGCAGCAAACGGTATTGCAAGAGGTTTAGCCACTAACCGGGATGGGCAGACTGTACTGTGGGGGCAGCAGCTGGGGATTTTTATAAGCCCCAAATGAGGTAAGAATTCTTCCCTTTCCCTCCCAGCTCAGAGGCATGTTGCCTCCCCTCCCATTTCCCCCTTGCTCCCTTCCCCTACCTGCCACTGCTGCTCCCCGCTATCCTAGGGGTGAGAGGTGCTTCAGCTGGGCTGGGTGGGTGCTGGGCTCAGCCCAGGACAGTGGTAGGCTTCCCCTTCATCCTCCCCCAACTTTCTCCAAGGCTGGCAGGGAACACCTGCCTGCTACCACTGTCCTGGGCTGAGTCCAGCCACCATTCAGCCTGGCTGGAGTAAAACAGGAGTTTCCCTTATTGTTAGGATAGTGGAAATAGTGGCAGTGGCAGGTAGGGGAGAGGGAAATGGGAGTGGATGTTCCTGAGAGGGGACATGCCTCTGAGAGCAGAGGGGAATGGAGGGAGGGAATTCTTACCTTCTTTGGAGACTTAAGAAAGTTCTCAGTTGCTGCTCCTGCTGTGTGGTCGGGGAGGGCGTGGCCATGCTTAGCTACTTTACCAGGATTTCCTAAAGTATAGTTCTGGGCCCTGATTATGATTTCTGATCTTTTTAACCCTAGACCAGGGGTCAGCAACATATGGCCCATGGGCTGGATGTAGCCCATAGGGCTTTAAGGCTTTGCCTTTAGCCATGCCTGTACTGAAGTTGGGTAGTCAGGAGCTGGCCCCTGATTCTGATTTCACTGGGCACACCTACATGTTCAAGTAATGCATTTTAGGTAATGCACATTAAATTTAGTACCTCCATTGTGAGGTACTAGAAACACGTGCGTCGGCCTATTCTAATGCACATTAGTTAAAGAGCACTTTCTTATGATGCTTTAACGTGTATTAAAAGAGGCTAATGTGCATTAAAGTGCACGTGTAGACATACCTGGTGTACATTTGGAGTTTCTCTACTGGAGATAAATTTGAGAATGAATCAGGCCTGTGGAGTGTGATATAAGCAGAGTACTTCTTGCATGCAGCGCACTAGATGCAGTTGTTGAAGTCCTCTGCAGCCAGCACCATGTCAGGGTGCACCGCCAGAAGAAGAAAAGGAGGTTTTGTGATGCAGCTATGGCAACTATGGAGTCCCTTTAAGAAAGATCCTTTGCTAAGTAGAGCTGAACTCAGTTCCTTTCCTGCGAAACTAAGATGTCCTTTCACTTTTCCACAGTCAGCAGTTTATCAGTTCTCTTTCCTTATCTTGTTACAGGCGTGTTGGCTGAGAACAGAGGATTGATATTTTAACTGCACTGAGCTTCCTTGCAATTCTTACACTGGCTGAGACCTTCTCTGCATTTCAAAACTTTTCCCAGAAGGAGGTGGGGGTGAAAAGCCTGATTGGTTCAAGGGGTTGGTAATAGGCAATAGTGCCTTTCACCTAGAACTTGATGGTTTAAAGCCAGAGTATGCTGGTACTTATGGAAAGTCCTGTGTCATCATTACAGATGGTCATATGGTAGCTTGTGTGAAATGTATGGGGGGTTTCCCATGAGCTCCGGCTGGCAAAAATACCCCTGTCACACTACTGTTAACACCTCTGTGGGCAAGACCACATGTGGGGTCCAGCAGAGGCATAACGAACAGGGTTTGTGCCTGGGAAAACCCTGAGGGAGAGTGGTGGATAGGGGAGAGGTGTCACTGAGTATTGAAAAACCAAGGCAGTTCTGAGAGTGCGGTGGGCAGGGCACAGGGGTATTCCCTACACTAGGGACTCAAAACCAGTCCTGGGCTGCTGCTGCTCCTACTGCTGCTGTGGCCAAAGTATAATCTGACTGCCCAGGCTGTTGCTCTTACAGCAGCAGTGTGGTGTCTGTGCACCCAGAAGCTGTTGAGAGAGCAATTCTGTGGAGCTGCCTTTGCTGCTATGGTGCCAACTCTGCTGTGGTGGAGGGCAAGTGTGGCGCCCTTCCTAAGTACATGCCTGAGGCTGCTGCCCCGCTCACCCACCCTTAGTTATGCTACTGAGATCCAGGGGAATGGGTTAAAGATGCTGGACAACCCTCCTACCCTGGGGAGGGGGGTTAGATGAGTTTGTATTGCTACTGCTTCTGCTGGACCTGCTCTGGGGTAAAAAGACTTCTGCTGCTAGGCTGTCCATGTGGCACAAGGTCAATTGGATGAGTCAGGGGGTTGGCAAGGGTCTATGAAATCTTTCAGTCCTGGGCCGGAGGGTGAGCTGGATGCTTCATGTGATGGATCCTTCTCTGATGTGGGCAGACTGCTAACAAATGTTCCATATAATGCCGGATATGTCTGTCAACTGGACAAAGTCCCTCTCCCCCAGTGCCTGCTAGATAATAAGGACTTCCAGGCACTTCCAGTATGGGCTAATTCAAGCCAACAGCCTGGCAGAGAAAGGCTTTATCTCCCATTAGCAACCCTAGAGCCATTCCAGCCTTCAGACTCAGAGAGGGATTCCTTCATGAGCTCTACCTTCCAGTATCCTGGTGGCTGGGCTCACATCATCCTGCCTGCTCGGCCTTCCTAGAAGCATCAGTCTTTCTCTTTCCAGAACAGGGCCCTGCTGCTCCTGAAAGTAAAGTAAAAGTACAAGCATTTTCTATGTGCAGGGTGGCGGTGGGGGGGTCGGAGAGCTGATGGATTCCCTGGATTTCAGGCCCTACCACGTGTGTTGCTTGCTGCTATAATGCATCATAGGCAGCAGTGTGACACTGTACAGCAGGATCAGACTGCATATGGGAGAGAAGAGTAGGGACAGTGCTAGCAGCAAACCACCTTGATGCTTTTCTTTCTAATTTTCCCTAGCTATAGAAACACTTCCTTCTGCTGCAGGGAATGATCTCTCCTGAAATCCCCATATGCAGACATCCCCCTTCAAAAGCTTATTGTGGGAGGGGGTGGACATGGGGGAACCTGTTATCTTGCCACTCCAGGATCCTCTCAGTGGCTTGGGGGGAGGAAGGGTGGCTCTGTGCCCCCTTCGGTTTCCCTTTAAATGGAAGCCCTGCCCACTGAAATTGACACAGTCCTCCTTGCCTGGCCAATGGGAGCCTTGGCTGGGTGTTCTGTTTGTTACAAGTTTCACATTGCTGGAAGACACAGAGGGAGAAATAGAGAGCCAGTGTGTGTGAGAGGGAGCGTGGATGAGGGGGGGAAGAGGGAAAAGGGGGGTGCGACAGAGAAAGAGAGAGGCGAGGGATGCCTGTTTGGAGCAGCAGGCATCAGCGGGAGAAAGAGATGGCATATTAGACCATTACCATGAGCAGAGCCCAGGGCCTGTGCTGAAGATCTGTTCCATCTCTTAATAAACATATTGCACCAAATGTCTCCTGTCCCTGGCAGGACCTTGCCAGCTGGTACCTTCACTCCTTCTGAAGCCTGAAAAAGCAAGGGAAGTTTAATTTTCCTTTTTTCTTTTCCCATTGAAAAGGGAGTTACATAGAAATATATTTTAAGGAGTGCGGGGGGAGGGAAGCAGGGGCAGAGCTGGAATCAGGAGAGCTGCAGATTTGCTCCTTTTAGGAGTTCTGTGTACCTGGAGGTGCTGAATGTGAGCTCTACTGAGTTCCCCCAAGCCTAGCAGCAGCTGTAGATGTGTGCCTGTGTGTATGCTTAACCCTTTCTTGGCTCCTGGGATTAATACCATGCTGAAGATCCTCACCAAAAAGCTCAGGAACCAGAGTTTGAATGAGATTCAGCCTTTCCAGCTCAAGGTAAGAGAAACTCTGGGCACTTTTATTTGACACCCTATAGTTAATTGATAATAGGGGTAATAAAAGCTATTAACTTTCAACATTCAATACTCTGGGTCAGTTTCCTCTTAACCAGCTCAGAGTGAGTCATGATAGGCATTGGCCTGTACTATATGAATGTTTTTAGCCTGTTACTTTGAACATAGGGTTGCCTTTGCCAATTCAGCTTGTACTAGAGAAGTGTGGGGGTGGCAGGGAATGGAGGCAGACTCATACAATTTTTTTAATCTAGTAATAGTATAAAGTAGTTTTAAGTGGTGCATATTTTCATGCTGGGTTAGTTACTTTGTAGGATGGGATAAGTATGTGTGTGCACATGTGCACATGCATATTTATATTGCTGTATATCTATTTATATTGCTGTTTATCTATATCTAATCACAGAGCAATGCCTAAAGATCTAAGCCAGGTGGAAAGTCCTTTCTTTTGAGTATTATTTCATTTCTCTCTGCCCTGGCTTTGAAGGCCTTAACCAGATAAAAAGTTTGCAGCTTGGCACACTTTGCTGATCAGTTCCTTTCTCAGCCTTTCTGCTTTGCTTCTTTCATTTTGAAAGGAAAACTAGGAACGGCAAGCTAAGGACAATGGATATCTAAGCCCTTTCCTGCAAAATGCAAGGAGGAATTTATTGACCACTTGCAAAAACATGGAACGGTGGTGGGACGAATACAAAAAGGGCTAGATTCTGATTTGGCGAAATCAGTGTAAATCTGGAGGAACCCCTCTGGGATCAGTGGGATCACCCTTGATGTACACTGGTGTCATTGAGGGTAGAGCCTGGTTTGAAAGCAAAGAAGGGTGCTGTGAAAAGTTGCAGGCCTTACTGCTTACCCTGGGAACTGGGGTCCCTTTGCACTGGCCTACAGTGCAGCCTTTTGTATGCATTTGTGCTTCTGTACCATAGCTCTGGTTAAGTGGACTGTAACTTTATGAGAAATGGTGCTGTTTTTTTCAGAGTGCTTTGTGCTCCATGCATCTCTTTCTTCTTTGATTGCAGATTCTGTTGCTTTTGAGGAAGGAGGGAGTACAACAGCCCTTAGAAGGGGAGTTTGTTGGGAGACAAGAGGGGCATTACTGTGGAGTTGTGATGGATTGATCCACTGCAGGACAGGCTCTGTGCAAGGGCAAGGGGGGTGGGGGTAGCTCTTGCTAGAGCTTTTTCTTCAGGCCTTTTTGGCTGTAACTACCTCTTGTTTTTACACCCTGTTTCTCATTCAGAAACCTGGAAGGTCTCTGGGGGCTACAAATTAGACATTCAGAACCCGTCTCCCATGAGGGCCCATAAAGCTTTTAGGAGTCTTGTTCACACAGAGAAACAAGTGTGCTTGTATGTGTCTGCATGTGTCAGCAGCCATTTTATTCATGCTAGTGCCAACTTTTGCTGTGCAAACAGGTGGGCTGCATTTTTGCTGGCCTATTGAAAACCCAGCCTTCAATTTGCAAGGTGTCTTCAAAGCCTGATGCTTAGGCCTTTGAAGGTGCCATTGCAACCTGGTGTGGTTTCTGCTACAATGACTGGCACAAATGTGCCTGGGCAGAAAGCCAGATTTTCCAAACTGTGGGTTCAAATATCCCTTGTAGGTCACAGGGGAATAATGAAGATGTTCAGCACCCCAAGGAGCGGGGATTTGCTTCAGCCCAGTGTTCTCAGCTGCTTCATGGGGCAGCATACTGTATGGTCCTTTGTGTGTCCAGCCAGATCTCTTAGCTCGAGCGGACTTGGAGGGAAAGTTACAGAAAGGACACATGGAAGGAGCTGTTCCTGTGTTGCACACAACACAGGGATGACAGTTGTGCCCGGTTTGTTGCACATCCACAGAGCTTCTGGTCCCAAACAAGCCCTTTATGTTTTAAACCCTTTACAAGTGTATCCGTTTCTCCTTGCCCTTCTGGATTTGCACTTTTTGTAGCATGCGGGATGCATAGACTGGTCTTATTTGGCTCAGATTACTTGCCCGAGGCTGTTTTGAAAATCTAGCTTCCAAGGTCTAAGGGTTTATGGTTGCAATGGGCTAAGCCTGAGTAGACCGGCTGGGATAAAATAAGAGGTGGTCTCCAGCCAGAACCTGAAACAAGCAACTCCTGAGGTTTTTGGGTTTTTTAAAAGATTGGCTGTTTTTTCCCCTCATCACCACTTGTGTCCACGCTTTCTGACATCACTGGAGGTATCTTAATCCAGGGCCCAGGCCATTGCTATATATCTAGCTGTACTGGAAGTAGGCAGTATTAAAGTCTGGGGAAACTGTTTTTTGGCATGGATTACCAGTTTGGAGAGGCTTTGGACCAGCACCTGTGCTTTTTGGTGCGTCTCAGAATAGAAGCTCTGAACACCTTACGCTCTCCTGTTGGCACCTCCTTTACTAAAAGGCTTTGCGCATTTGACCCCATCTCCCTAGTGGCAGGCCTTAGTGAGGATACGTGCTGCTGTCACACCAGGTGACAGACTTACTACTGGGCAGATGTTTCTGTTCTCAGCCTTGAAGTCCCGGGCTCTGTTTCTCCTCTCAGTGGTAACTTCATACCTATAACCACAAGTCCTTTACACAAAGCTCTTCCATATGCTTTCACCTGTGTTGCCCAGTGATCTGGCATTATTTGCTGGAGATGAGGCCTAATTCCTAAACTGAAATACAACTGTAGAGCTAAAGTCCCATCAGAATGCCTTGCTTGAGGTGTCATCTTTCATTACAGTTGGTGTTGGTGTCTGTCTGCTCTGAAGTAGCAGGGCAGGCAAGAGATCTCTAGGGGAGCAATGGGGAGTGAGGAAGGGAGTTTGAACTGGTATGTGTCCTACTGACTGAAGCAAAGGCGAGGTTTGCAAAGGAAAGGGACGGATTAAGAGGTTCTTTTTACATTGCATCCAGGCGCTGTTGGAGAAGAGATGTAGCCAAGCAGGCCTTACCCACTCTGTCACAAGCACCAAACTTGGAAATGCAGGGTTGAAGCTACTCAGTGGCACTCCCTGAATGATAGACAGGGGTCTCAACCTATAGGGGTTGGGCACTACAGTTCTGGGTTTGATGCATGCAAGTAGAAGCAGATGGGCAGGGCCTGCCGAGGGCAGTGCCACCCCAAAAGTGCTCTGAAAGTGGTGTAGACACCCATAGGGGCCAGGATACTCATTGTTAGCTGGGCCTCCATTAGGCTTCCAGTATTGCATCCCAAAAATGCATGGTTAGGCATCTAAATGATGGCAGTTATTTTCACCTCTGCTTGTTGCTGTGGAGGCTGCTGTGGGAAATTTAGGCCAAACTGTACAATGCCACTTTTAAACAAAAATATGCCTGAAAGTGGCACCGACCGTTGTACCTAGACACAGAACAAATGAGATACTGGTAACTAAACACACAAAAATGTACGGCAGTGACAGGAGAGTGGCTAATTCTGGCTAAACATATCTGCATTTCCACTTGCGGGACTTCTTTTGTTCATACAGATGCCTTTTTTTTTCATCCACAGTTAACTGTTTGTGCCCCTGCGGGCAGATTTAGTATGAATGGGTTGCATTTCAGGAGGGTTGCCAACCTTGATTGCAAGCTGTTTGGGGCAGGGAGTGTCTGTCAGCTGCATGTCTGTACAATGGCCATTGAACCAGGGCCTTGATCAGTGCCCCTGGGTGCTATCACAATGACATGCTTGGTCTATGATGTACAGAAAGCAATTTGTCAGACGGTGCGATTGATGCAACCGGCTAAGCCTTTTATTGATGCTGTGGCAATACTTAACTTCATGGACACAGTGATTCCCGAATCAACAGCAAAAGTAATATTTGAACCTGTAAATATTTTTGAATGATTCTGTATCTGGAAAATTAATTTCTGTTCTGAATGTAGTTGCTCTGTTTCAGCCCATGAAGCGAAGCGGTACTCCTCTGGTGCTTTGTTCTAGTCTTAAATTTACAATGGATGCAGTATGCTGTGTTTGCTAGAGAAGTGACCACACCAGCTGCTTACCTTACAGGCCTACACCAACCCTAGTACATTCATTCCCTCCTACCCTCATATGGCAGAACCTCTTATTGGGGTTCTGGCTGCACTTTCCTCCTCACTTATGTATTTTCGCACACCCCATTTCCCCCCCCCCCAATTTGTAGGGGGCTACTATGTTACATGGTGGGCTTGGCCCATGCCTTAGACAGGACAAATAGGCCTACCCTCAACCGGTATAGCCATATCCTCACACACAGCAGTGCCCTTATTCCTTCAGTTATATAGTGACACTAAACGGTGGGGGTAGAGTATTTGCTTTCTGAGTTTTCTTGTAGCCTTGTTGTGTTGTGCTCAACTATCCCCTGGGCTCTTATCAGAGTCCTTATTCAGCTGGTGGAAATCTTGATCATTGTTTCCAAAAGAGGTCATTCCTCTATCCCTTTCTGTTCCCTACTCATACACATTTAGCTCATCCCATCATGCAGAATTCACTTCCTTAAGATCACCAGGCTCAGCTGTAAAATCATAACCTTCTTTATTCTTGGTTGGAAACTTTACACAATACTTTGGTTAATTTTTCATTTCAAGAATTACATTTTGTAAGGCAAGAACCCACAAGATACATGCCTAGATTTAAGCTTAGGAATACACGTAGGGCAGAATTCTGATTCCCTTTTTTGCATCTAAAAGGCAGTTTTTATGGCCTTTTTGGCACTTACGTGCAGCTAGCTATATTGGATAAAATGAAGCAGGGAAGTTTCTGTTCCGTGGGAAGCATGGCTACAGGGAAGAACCCAGGCCTGTTTCCTTCCAGGGCAGCAGCCACCTCATCAAGCCACAGACACTAGTGTGAATACAACCCTCTGGCCCCTCATCTCCTTCACTTGGCTGTCCAGGGGACCAGCTTCAAAAGAAGCATTGGATAATGCCTGCCCTGTGGCATGGTGGTTAGAGAATCCCATTGTTGCTTGACTTCAGAACCTGGGAATTTAAGGATAGTAAATACTGAAGGACTGGGAAAAACATCCTGAG